AAAAAAAAGTCTTAGAAACAGAAGGAATCTAAACAAGGTCTAAGTCTTTCATTTTATAGATGGAGAACTAAAGTCTCTAAATCAAATAATCCATCCCAAGACAGTTTGAAAACAAAACCTCAGTCACTGATTTCTTTCTAATATAAATTAGACACAAATAGAAGAGAACATCTATGTTTTACCAGAAGTTTTTGGGCTGAAACTGGTGGCTTTCAATACATGCAATAATGGTCTGTTGCCCATCTATAGTCTTAGCGTAAACCTATTGTAGGAAAAAAAAAAAAAAACAGTTAAACATGAAAAACATATTTGTACAAAAGCAGTATTCAAATTGAAATCCTTGAAGGGGGCAAAGAGTCAGAACATGCTTATAACACAGGCCTTCCTGAGATATGAACACAAATCAGATGGGTTACATTCCAGCAGAAACAGTGCTACAGTAAACCCTAGGAGGCTACTACTTCTGGCTTATCTTACTGTAAATGAGGTGCCATTTAGGATGGACCTCACAAAATAATGTGCATTTCTGAAAGGCAGAGAATGAGGCTAAAGACAAGTCAAGAAAGAGTTCAGCCAGGAAACCAAGGACGTGCTAACTGGCAACTGGTCCTGCCAGGTTAGTGGAGTTGTGTGAGATGTACTAGTGGGAGACAAAACAGAAAGAAATAGATTAACTAGCAGGTAAAAAGTTTAGACTGTTTTCTTCATACAAGAGACAACAAAACAAGACCAGAACCAATATTTTGGGAGAAATATCAATACTGATACAGAAGATAAAATGGAAAAAAAGCTTGAGGTCAGTTAGGAGGCCACAAGTTAACCTAGACAATAGTCTAGGGTGTTGTGAATGAGAACGGAAAGGAGGAGTATTACCCAGAATGCAAAAGTACAGTCAGAGGTTGCACTGGCTAGTTTTATGTCAACTTGACACATGCTAAAGTCATCTGTGAGGCGAGAACCTCAAGAAAGAAAATGTCTCCATAAGATCCGGCTGCTGTAAGATGTCTTTCTGGATGCTGTGAATATGTGTGGCTCCCATTGGATAATAAATAAAGCTGTTTTGGCCTATGGCAAGAAAGCTTACAGCCAAGTGGGAAATCCAAGCAGAGATACAGAGAGAAGAAGGGTGGAGTTGGGAGAGATGTCAGCCCATAGCCCAAGAAATAACATGCCAGCAGACCTGTTAACGCCACGACCATGTGTCAATACAAAGATAACGTGTCAATACAAAGATTTAAGATGAAAGAGCTTGCCAGCAAGAAGCCTGAGCCATAGGGCTATATGTTTGTAATTAATATATGCCTCTGAGTGATTATTTTATAAGCTGCTATGGGAGCTCAGGTGGGAGAGATTTGACTGGCCGTGGGGCTAGGTAGGACTGAGAAATTTTCCACTACACCCAGCTGTAGGCAAGCGTGTAGGGCATTTTCTTAATTAGTGATTGATGGGGAGTGCCCTACCCATTGTGGGTGGTACCATCCCTGAGCAGGTGGTCTGGGTTTTATAAGAAAACAGGCTGAGCAAGCCATGGGGAGCAAGCCAATAAGTAGCACCCCTCCATGGCCTCTGCATCAGCTCCTGCCTTCAGGTTCTTGCCCTGCAGAGAGTCCCTACCCTGACTTCCTTCAGTGACGGACTATGATGTAGAAGCACAAGCCAAACATAACCTTTCCTACTAAACTGCTTTTAGTCACGGTGTTTCATCATAGCAGCGGTAACCCTAACTAAAACAGAAGTCTAGCTGTATGTTGTAATCAAAGGGCAAAGTGAAAAAGAAGTCTAAGTATTTCTAAACCTGAATGATGTGGACCAATGTGCTGCCTGCCATCAGCAGATTGGGAAACCCAGATGAGAGGTCTAACTAGAATTTAGAAATATCAACTCTTGGAGTGGAAGTGGTGGGGATGTGAATGGAAATGCAATCACCAAAGAAAGCAAGAAAACAATCAGTACTTTAGAGTCTCAAATGCACTTGTAGTGTATTTTCCTATTTGTTTGAGACAGGGTCTCACTCTGTAGTCCAGGCTGCCAATCTTCCTGCCTCAGCACCTCAAGTGCTGAGATTCTAGGTGTGAGTCCCACACTCAAGCCGTTGCCTATTTTAACTGCACTATAAACTCTTTGCTGTTTTTGTTGTCTTGGTTTTATTGTGAAACAGTGCCTCATAGTCTGTTACTCGGGCTGGCCTGGAACTCAGTATGTAGCCCAAGATGGGCCTCAGACCTACTCAATCCTCTTTTTATCAAGCTCCCAACTGCTGGAATTACAGGCATGAGCCCCGATACCTGGTTAGACTATAAACCTCCAGGACAGAGAAATAGAACTTTGGAGAGTGCCTAAATGCAAAATATGGGGGGAAAGAAAGCAACAGCTATAGAGTAACTGCAATTAATGGCTGTTGGCAAAGCCACTTAGCAACAAATCATTTCTAGAGCAGGCAGTTGGGCTCAGTGTGAAATGCCATCCATATAGAAAAGAAGGAATGAGTTGGCTGGCTCAGTCTGCTCAGAAAGCAGTTTGTATAAAATGGCAAAGCCAGTGCAGAGTCAAAGGTTCAGACCTGCACTGCTAATGAGTAAATACACAAACAGGGAAAACAGCCCTGGGTTTCCTGGGGAACAGAGTGCAGGCCTGGGGGAAGGAAAAAGCAGAGAGGAGGAAGAAACAGGAGGTACAAAGAGGAAGTTAAAGAAACAAGCAATTTACAGGAATTACTGTGGTTGAGATAGCTTTACCTCCCTTTAAAGAGTTAAGACTTTCTAACTTCAGGCATGGTGGCACATGTTTGTGATCCCACCGCCTGGGAAGTAGAGACAGACAGATGGAAGAAAGCTTACATGAGACTGTCTCAAAAATAAAACCAAGACTATATACCTAGGTAATGGAGGACTACACCAGAAGAAAAAAACAAAGTACATACAGCCATCCTGAAGACATAGGATAGTATAAAATCAAGAATAAGAATCTTTTTGCCTCAGAGTCAAGTATAATAGAAGGAAGAATAAGACTTCTGAGTATGGAGAAACAAGAAATAAAACTTCAGTCAGTCTTAATGCTAATTAGATGTAGTAGTTAGATGCTCATCTGACAATAGAAAATGTCTGGAACACACTGTACAGAAAACATGACAGGGTAAGATGAAATTAGGGGCATCTAAGGATGCTAAGGATGCAGGTTACTAGGATACTGCAGGCAGCACCAGGACAATTCTATCATCTTCTGGTGCTCATATAATAACTCAAAGAAAAGAAAAAAAAAAAAAGGTCTCAGTAGGGTTCTTTGGCATTGAGCTCTCCAGATTAAAATGTAAATGGTCAGGCAGGGTGGTACAGGCCTTTAATCCCAGTACTTGGGAGACAGATGCAGGCAAGATCTCTGAATTTGAGGTCGGTCTGGCCTACATAGTAAGTTCTAGTCCAGCCAAGGCTACATAGTGAGACCCTGTCTCAAAAACAAACGAATAAAAAAGTGGATAAACTTTGAATGGAAATAAGTGGTAAATTGCAATTGCAAGTATCTTTAAATAGCTGATTTCTAAGACAGAATATATTCTTTACCTGAAAAATGTTTGAAAAAGAAATCTGTAGGTAGCTACAATGATGTGTTTCCTCTATTATTTAGAAAAGACCAAATATGTAAGAATAATGGCATCTTCCACTCATGTATAGCTCACATTGTACCACACACTGTCCTAAGATTGTGGTGGTAATTGTACTGAAATGTGATTTTAATTGTATGTTAATAAATAAAGTTGCCCAGGGGTCAGAGCTATTAGAGCCATAGGAAGAGCGTGGCGGTGGTGGCGCACGCCTTTAATCTCTGTGTGTTCAGGGATACAGCCAGCATTGGAGACATATGCCTTTAAGACCTGGGGGGCTGTACATACGAGGCAGTCACGTGTTTGGGTTTACAACCAATGAGAAGGCAGAACAAAAAACTATGAAAAGACGGACAGACAGGAAATAGGTCTCTTTCAGGAAGCTAGGAGCTCGCAGGAGGAAGGTAAGATTTTGGCTCTGAGCTCTGACCTCTCGGCTTTCTCTTTTACATTGGTTCTGTGTTTCTTATTTAATAAGACAGTTGGTTACATCTACATAAGATCTTCCATTAACATACTGAATTCTCACAACAACATTATGTCTTATTATACAAATGAGGAAATCGAGGCACAGAGATGTTAGGTAATTTATACCTAAGGTCACAACTAGCTAAGTAACTAGTCAGGCTTCAAAGTGCTCTTAACTAACTATATTCCTATTAAACTCATTATTTTGTTTTTTCCTGGAACTCGCTCTGTAGCCCAGGCTGGCCTTGAATTCACAGAGATTCGCCTGCTTCTGCCTCCTGAGTGCTGGAATTTAAGGCTTGTACCACTACTGCCGGGCAAACTCAACATGTTTAAAAGTCTAACTAGTAACTACATACTGTGTATTTGAAGACTGCTGAGAGTAGATTGTGTTTACACACACACACACACACACACACACACACACACACACACACACACACCCAGGTGTGGTGGTTCAAGCTTGTAATAACAGCACATAGAAATCTGAGGCAGGAGGATCACCTCAAGTTCAAGGCCAGATTAGGCTACAGAGTAAGGCCCTATTTAAAACAAAAACAAAAACAAGGGGAAAAGTATGAAAGCTAATATATTCCCACTTTCTACACTCAACTTAGTTGTACCACAATGTATATATTTCAAAACATCATGTTTTACTTACTATAAACATTTACAACTTTGTCATCTAAAAGGTTAAAATGCAGGCAGGCCTGGGGCAAGCCTGGATTCCCAGCTTGGGCATCTGAGACAGAAAAGACTAAAGATTCGATGTCAGCTGGGACTATAGAATAAGTTTCAAGGATAGCCTGGGCAACTTTGTGAGACCCTGTCTCAAAACAAAAACTGTAATGAGGACTGGGGATACAGTAAGTGGCAGAATGCTTGCCTAGCATGTGCCAGTCCCTCAGTTCAGTCTACTAAAAAAAAAAGAAAAGAAAAGAAAAGAAAAGAAAAGGTTAGAACATTAAAGCTAAGCATGATGTAAGTAACTATAAACCTCACACACTTGTTACTCTCAGCAGATCTCTCAGTCCAGCTCTCTGCACAGTGAGTTGAACTCTTGATGCCTTTGCTTCTACTTTCCAAATGTTGTGGGATTACATGTATCAAACCTGGTTTTAAGAACTTTTTGATGAGTACAGGTGATTTCTTGTGAGTAAATAAAAGAAATATAAAATACGGATATTTTAAATTATTATGTACTGAGATTTTTATTTTTATTTTTTAATTTTCTATGGCTGGAGAAATGGCTCAGTAATTAAGAGCTTGTACTACTTTAGTAGAGGACCTGGGTTCAGTCTCCAGTATCCACATCAGATGGTTTACAAACACTCGTAACTGCGTCTTCAGGGGGTCAATTACCTCTGGCTTCCAAGGGCACCTGTACTCACATGCAACCCCTGCCCTCATTTATATATAATTAAAAACAATAAAAGTAAGTCTAAAAAAGAATTTTTCATATACGTATATTCCTTTAGAAATGATTTAGGGAAGTTACCATAACCAAGAGAAAAGAAGTGAGGTCTGGTGGCCAAAGCTTCAAAAGGATAAGGTAAGGTGAGAAAATGAGTCCCAACAGTTGGGGAGGAACAGGTGGATACTTAACAGTACAGAAGCCGTTGGAATAATGGTCTTTCACATAGGCCCTGAAAGCACTGTCACAGGATTCTCTCCAAGACTTCAAGCCTCCGTCCACATCTTCTGGCTGAGGGTCACTTGCTTCTTTCCGTAAATGATCAAACTTAAAGGAAATTTTGTTTCTTGGATCTAAAAATCTGCTGTTACCGAGGTCACCGTGCTCTGTAATTAAGACCTTCCAGAGAAGAATTACAAATATGATTAACTCTATAAAAAAAAAAAGACAATTCTTGTCATGTTTTGCAAAAAAGGAATAATAATAAATATCCTAGGACAGTTAACTTTTCATTTCTTTTCTTTTCCATATTGACTTTTAAACCAAGTATCATCTTTATTCTCACAAAAATACTCCATTTATGGACAAACTTTTCTCTTCCCTATATTTTTTGATTTCTATCTAATGTAATATCCATGTGTGCATTTATTCCTAGCTATAATACCAACTTTCATGTATTCATTTTCACATACTATATGAAACTTTTCAGGGCCATTGTATTATTGTGAGCATTTAAGTAATCCAGCTACATAGTTCAAAAATGTACTAAATGAAATCTTTTTCTCACCTCTATCTCCTAACTAGTAAATTCCTTGAGTAACTGAAATTAGTCCAAATTTAATGTCTTCTGGCATTTTTGTTAGATTCTTCCTTTGTACCTCTCTGGAACCCAGGAGTTGCAAATGCACAGCTTATGACTGAGCTCCATATCAAGTCAATGACATTTTTTTTTCTATTAAAAAACCCACCTAATAGTACCAGAAAGAGGAAGAATTTCCTAATATATAGACTATTTTAAAACACAAGACATAAATATATTTGGCACCCAATTTACTATCTGCTGATGGCGTCTACATCTCTATCACCTGCCAAGCACAGACTATCTAATTATCTAACAGACTAACTATCTAACTAGCAGTTATTACCTGGTCATCATAGCCTTCTATCTTCACAGGTGTGAACTGATCCATGTTATACTGGGCAAATGCACTATTTAAAAAAAAAAAGAAGAAGAAGAATTGAAAAAGTAAATAATATCTCCATTTTACCAGCTACTTAATCAAAAAACTTTGGAATCATCCTTAGCTTTTCTTTCTCTGATACTTCACATCCAACCCACCGGTTCTATGGTAAGTAATTGAAATCTGACTCCCCATGCCCACTGCGTCTACTCTAAATGATATGTCTCTCAACTGTTGTCTTGTCGTCATTCAGCCTTTGCCCCTTACATCAGAATACATAGCTGGTGATTATTCTAAACCTTAAGTCTTACCATGTCATTCTCTGCTTAACACTCTTAACAATGTCATTTCACTCAAAATAAACTTCACTCTTCAGTGAGACCTATAACATCCTACTTACACCAGAAGTGCTAGGCACTATCAGGGAATGGTGCTATGGTTAGAAGCATTGGTGCCAAAATATAGGGAAGAAGGTAAATCCTAGGCTGATCTAATGCATTATCTATGTATATTTTATACCCAGCTATAATAAAGCCTCCTTCAGTTTATAAAGGAAGCAATAATGATGGTGAGGACTGCTGAAACAGCATGTACTAGGCACCAGGAAGAGTGTGACCAAGAGATTGGAGCATGTCATTCCAGAAGTAAAGTGAGCTTTGTATCCCCATAAGAAAAAAAAAAAAAATCAGATTGTTTGGGCACAGGAAAATTCTTCTTTAACAAGTAAGTTCTCCCAAAACCTGAAATCTCTAAGAATTTGAACACCCACACACACACACCTTTAATGTCTGTCATTGTAATTAAAACCGCAGAAGCATCTGAACTACATATCAACATAACCAGTCCTAATTAGAAATCAGGGAAGTATTTTTCAACCTATGGGTCAGGAACCCTTTGGAAGGGGGTGGGGGACGGATGACCTTCTCACTGGGGTCACCTAAGACCATCTGCATATGCAGATATTTATATTATGATTCATAACAGTAGCGAAATTACAGTTATGAAGTAGCAATGAAAATAAGTTTATGGTTGGGGGTCACCATAACGTAAGGAACTGTATTAAAGGGTCGAAACATTAGGAAGGCTGAGAAACACTGAGTTAGAGTTTCAGTCTGTAGCCCAGGCTAGCATTGAACACGTCAATCCTCTGGTTTTCACCAACCAAAGTCTGAGATTATAGGCTTGCACTACCAGGGTTGCCTTGAAGCACTTTGGAGTGGCATTCCACCCTAGTATCAGGGGTAATCTGTCAAGTGATATATAGAGTTATCTTCAATGTGTGCCTCAGTTTCCTAAGTAAATTGTATCTAGGGTATCAGTCATTATGAGAATTACAGTGATGGTCTAGAAAACCTAGATCAACAGAATCTAGTCCTAAAAGCAGCATGGACAGGGCAGATGATTGTTTACTAGGTAACAAAGTCAAATCAATTTAACAGCACACCAAAATAACGTTATGATAGTTATGTGTTTTGCATTGACATGTTCTTTCTTGCCTTCCCCCAGTCCACTTCTCTCCAGCAATATCCAATTCAGGTTTCCTCTTAACAAACAGACTTTGGGCCAGTTGGGTAGACAGTAACTGAAAAGGAACTTTGGGAGGAACAGAGCAAAAGCCAGATAACATGGGCCCTTGAAAGCCACACTGTTTATATCTGATTCTAGAAGAAGAATCAACAAGCAAGACAAAAACCCCAAACCAAGTAAGCACCACCACTACGCTTTTGACGACAAAGAGGACTTGAAAATACTATTTTCTTGTGTGTGGCAACATCTCACTTATCTTGTTTGTCTAAAACTTGCTCTGTTTCTTCTACCAAAAATAAATTTTAAAAAGAGAAGAATAAAAGTAAACAAAACTTATGGTTTGACTATGAAACATTACCAAAACAGTCCTCAATTGTTTCCTAGGTAACAGCTCTTAAAACAGTTTTCTATAGTGAAAGAGACTGTCTTGGCTTGGTTTGGAAGGTCTGGTCCCCAGCTGTAATGATTTTAGGAGGTTCTAGAAATGTATGGAGGCAAGCTCTAGCTGAAAAAGATGGGTCACTGGAGGCAAGTCTTTGGGGCTGTATCTTGTCCCAAGCCTTGCCTTGTCTGTGCTTTCTGTTTGCCATTAAGTAAGAAATCTCTATCACATGTTTGTGACACCATGATGCTCTATCTAACCCTGGGCCAGAATCAATAGGGCCATGGACTATGGACTAATAAAACTGTTAGCTAAAACAAGCAAACAAACAAACAAATTCTTTTTGAAGTCACTAACACAAAGACTAACTAACTGCTTTAGTGTGAAGTGTCTAAACTAGGTTCTCACTGTCCCAGTTTACCGTCACCACAGTTTATCCAATGACAGAACATGTAAGTGGAATGAATGGGATTGTCAGTGTGCAGTGCTGAACTGCACTGAGCACCTCACACACACAGCCTGGTCAAGCTCTCTGTTACTGAGCGGTACTCCCAACCATGGGCTTAGGGGGTACTTACTGTGCTGCCCCTTCCCTGAGGAGATTGTCATTATTAAGTAGTAGTCGGACATCTAAGGAAGAAAGCATTGAAATACACTGAGTAGAGAACAAACTCAAGAAATGTTAGTCCATTTCTAGAATATATTTTTAAAATTCAGGGCTTGCAAGATGAGTCTTCAGGTATACTCCATGTATGGAAATTCTAAACATGCTGATGAGTAATGGACACTAATGTCCACAGGTTCCTATAGAATTATGTGTGCTATTATAATCCAACAAAAACTGTCAAGGAGTTTATTCATATCCCCGCCCCCCCCATTCCCCTTCCTTCTCTCTTGATAGGATCACAAACTCAGGTTGGCTTCAAACTCCCTCACTACGTAGCAGCTGCTGATAAACTTGAACTTCTGATCACCATGCCCAATTTATGCTGTGGTAGGGAATAAACCTAGAGTTTTGTGCATGCTAAGTAAGCCCTCTACCAACTGAGCTACATCCCAGAACCTTAGGATTTTTGTTTATTTATTTGAGACTGAGTCTGCTGTAGGCTGAGCTGACCTTAAACTTAGCATGTTGCCTAAAGCTGAGACTTTGAACTCTTGATTATCCTGCCTCCACCTCCCAAGTCCTGGGATTACAGATGTGTGCCACCATACCTAGTATAGATGAACCATAGAAAACTAAGACCTCTTTTTATGGTTTGAGTTTGGTTTTTGAGACCGGGTCTCACTATGTAGTCCAGGTTTCCCTGAATTTGTAATCGTCCTGGCTCAGCATCCCAAGTGCTGGGATTACAGGTATGCACCACCACACCCACCTAATATCTAATAGATGAAAATCTTGAGGGGATGATAAAGGTGAATCTGTACATTTATTTAATAATTTTTCTAGTTTTTGTTTTTGAAACAAAGGCTCATTCTGTACCTTAGGCTAGCCTGAAACTAGAGTAATTCTCCTGCTTCAGCCTCTTGGGTACTGCGCTTACAAGCATGGGCCACCATTTCTGTCTAAATCTGAATCATTTATTTATTTATTTATTTATTTATTTATTTATTTATTTATTTATTTATTTATTTATTTATTTATTTGAGACAGGGTTTCTCTCTGTAGCCCTGGCCATAGTAGAACTTGCTCTGTAGACCAGGCTGGCCTTGAACTCAGAGATGGCCTGCTTCTGCCTCCTAAGTGTTGGGATTAAAATGTGCCACCACTGCCTGGCTAAATCTGAAATTTTAATGACTTCAGATAGATTCAGTTCAGCCTCATTAGTCCTGGGAAATGTCCTTTAGTATGGGACTTCCTGAGAAAGGCAGTGAGAACAGAAGCTTTTAGTTATCACGATAAAACTAAAGACATAGGAGGCATCAAAAAGTAAAAGAATTAAAAAGCCAGTTTACTGCCATTCTTTCTAAACATGAAGCTATTTTTTAGTTTTGAGACAGTCTTTGGTCCAGGCTGTACTGGAACTTGCAGCAACCCTCCTCCTTTCTGCCTCCCTAGTGCTGGGACTGCAGGTGTGAGCCACTATTCCAGCCAGCTACCTTGAGTCTTTCCTTACCTGAGAGTGGGATCCTAATCAATGGACTAGGCAAAACTAAGTATTTGATTCAAACCTAAAGCTGAATCCTAACTTTTACATTTAGCAAGCTGAGTAGCCTTGAACAAATTATTTCAATGTTTCTAAATGTTGATTTCTTTAGCAAAGTTCTAACGGGTCATTATGAATCAGCAGACATCAAGCACTCACAGCTAGGCATATTGATGGACGCCCATGTTCCAGCATTCAAGAGTTCAAGGCCAGCCTGGGCCACAAAAGACCAATATTTAAAAAGAGAAAGGGCTGGTGACATGCCTCAGAAGTAAAGAGCTTCCTTCTAGGCTTGAAGACCTGAATTCAGTTCCCAGGACCCATGTGGTAGAAGAACCGACTCTCACAAGTTGCCCCCTTCCCAAATAAGTATATGGAATAAAACTTTAAAAAGAAAGAAAAAAAGGGGGAAAGCTAAATAATAACAATAATTAAGGAAGACTTAGAACAGCTCAATATTAATCTTTACTTACCATTGAATACTTCATTAAACTCCCCAGGGGGTGCATGGGTGATGAATTTAGCAGCTATGCGTACCTAAAGAGGAATAAAATTTATATTAAGTGTACTGTGAAGAGAAACAAACAGCTGGGTATAGCTGGGCATTGTCTAATCCTAGCACTTAAGAGGCACTACTAGGAAGATCTTGTGTTTGAGGTCAGTCGGGTGATAAAGTGAGACTGTATCTACCTCTCTCCCCCTAACTCCCGAAAAAGAAGCCCAACAAAACAAACAAACAAACATGTAAATGCAAATCATAAAAATTTTGTGATTTCAAATAAAAAAAATCCCCTTCATTTTCATTTTATGTGCATGGGTATTTTGCCTGCACGTGTGTTTATGCATCACACACATGCAGTGCCCACAGAGGCCAGAATAAGATATCATATCCCCTAGAACTGGAGTTACAGACAGCTATGAGATGGCATGTGGGTCCTGGGAATCAAATCCCAGTCCTCTGGAAGAGCAGTCAGTGCTCTTAACCACGGATCCATCTTTCCAGCCCCAGTGATAGTTTGTTTTAAAGATTTATTAATATATGCATGTGTCTGCATATATGCCTGTAGGTTCTAGTGGTATACAGAAGCCAGAAGAGGGCATCACCAGAGCTGGAACTAGAGGCAAATGTAAGTCACTTATAACTAGCAATGCATCTCTGACCCTCTGCAAGAACGCAAAGACTTCCCTGCTGAACCGTCTCTCCAGCTGCTTGTTTTTGCAACAAGATACCTTGTAGCTCAGGATGGCTCAAACTTGCTAAATAGCTGCTCTTGCCTATCCTTCCCTGTACTAGGATTATAGGTGTACACAGCCAGTTCTATGTGGTGCTGAGATGTAACTCAGGGCTTTATGCACACTAAGCAAATACTCTACCAACTGGGCTACTTTCCTTGCCTAGAATACCTCTTGAAATAAATTTATTTAAAGCGTTACTGTTTAGAGGCCTTTAGATTTTCTTTCTACAAAAAAATCCCAAAGCTGTTTCTATCAATATAGGTATATTTTTAAATATATGTGCTAACAGTCATTTTGAATTAAAAAAAAAAAAAAACGTGTGTGTGTGTGTGTGTGTGTGTGTGTGTGTGTGTGTGTGTGTGTATGAGTATGAGAGAAAGAAAGAGAGTTTATGTGCATCACATGTATGCAGGAGGCTGAGGAGTCCAGAAGAGAACAACAGATCTCATAGGTGGTTGTGAATACCCTTATGGGACCTGGGGAAATGAACCCAAGTGGGTCTTCTGCAAGAACAGTAAACAATCTTAACCACTGGGCCATATCTCCAACCCCTTGAATTTTTGTTTTAAAAACTGAATAGTCAGCTTTGGTCAAAACATAAAACAATCACAAATAAATCAAGTTATAATCGCTCATAAACATTTTAAGCAAAACTAAATATTCCAAACAAAGTAAATATCAATATCAAATAGTGCTGTGGAATAATCCTTCTGTATGCTGTGTATATGTATTACTTTCATTGGTTAATAAAAAAGCTGATTGGCATATAGCAAGGCAGAATAAGGCTAGGTGGGAAAACCAAACTGAAAATGCTGGGGGTGAGGGGCGGAGAGGGTGGTGTCAGAGAGACATCAACCAGCCGCCAAGCAAGCAGAATGTATAAAAAATGAGGTAACAAGCCGTGAGCCACGTGGTAAAGCATAAATACAAATATGAGTTAATGTAAGTGTAAGAGTTAGCTAGTAACAAGCTTGAGCTATTGGCCAAGCATTTATAATTCATATTCAGCCTCTGAGTCGGTTATTTGGGACCAGGAAGTCGGGACAGGAAACAATGGCTTACAAAATAGCAATTACCTAAATGCAAGGTTTAGTACCAATGATGTGACTTACAAATTAAAAGGAGCAAAGTCATATGATCACCCAAATCTTATTGGAAAACAAATGATAAAACTCAACACTTAATATCTTAGAATCCAACAAATTACTGGGTTTGGAAGTAACAGAGAAAGTTTCCTTGACCTGATAACTGGTTAGAATTCTAAAGCAACCCACATAATGAGGAAAATTAGCACTGTCACTGATTTTAAAGTCTGGACAGAGTTGACTCCTATCATTTGTACTACTCAGCTCTGTATTAGAGGCCCAAAGCATTATGGAGAAATTTTCTTCTATTACTCATTGTGGCCTCCCTCTTCTGTCCTTCATAGCCAGTCTCCCCTCATGATCAGTTACTATAAATGAATGCTAGAATGTTAGAATCTACCCTGTATCTCATTTCTTCTTCTATATTTAACTTTCCTTTATGCTTTGGGCAGTTCCATTTTTCAATTCACTAACATCCTCTTCAGCTATGCCCAATTTGCTGTTCAGATAATTATTTTGACTTTCCCAAGTTTTCACTGTCCTGATTTTTAGTAATTTCCTTTTATGTAACTATTCTTGTTTGGTGCTCCATTCAGCTTTCCTGTTCATTTTACCTATAGCCTGTCTCTAGTTCTTTTAAGGGCAAGGCTAGACTTGCTGCTTCTGATCAGGGTGCAAGCACTTTTTTTTTTTTTTTTTTTTTTTTTTTGGGAGACAGGGTCTCTCTACACAGCTCTGGCTCACTCTGTAGACCAGGCTGGCCTAAAAAAAAAAAAAAACCCAAAAGATTAAATGTTGAAATATGATTTTCTAATGTATATTTTTCTTTATATATAGAACAACAGTTGGCTTTTGGTATCAATAAGTTAAGAAATTAGTATATCTCTTTGAACAATGAAATGTTTTCTTTTTTTGGCTTTTTGAGAGAGGGTTTCTCTATGTAGTCCTGATTCTCCTGGAACTAGACCAAGCTGGCTTCAAACTCAGAGATCCACCTGCCTTTGTCTACTGAATGCTTGTATTAAGGCTGTGGGCCACCAGGCTTTATTTGTGGCAAATGAGCCGAGTGGTCATGGTCATGTTCTGCCAGTGTTTCTTATGACACCACAGAAATGTGAAACTCCCCTCAGTCAGGCAAAGTGCTTAAATTCTAAAAGTAAGTATATGCTGATAACACATTTTCCAGCCAGTAGTGGCGGCACAGGCCTTTAATCCCAACACTCAGAGCTAGTTCCAGGACAGTCAGGGCTACATAAATAAATCGTATCTTGAAAAACAAACAAAACAAATAAAATAAAAACAAACAAATCTCAAACAAAAAGGTCAAGGAAGGTAAAGGAATGAAATGAGGCACTGTCAAAATGCTGTCGGCAGCAAGGAAGGACTTTAATAGACCAAGAGCTCACCTATTCCTTTCCTATCTATAGAGGGTTGTAAGCTTGACAATTTAGGCTCAAATGAGATGAAATTGAAAGAGAAAAGTAAACCCAAAGTTCTCTTCTGTTCTCTAAAGAGAAGAGCTCAAGTATGCAACAGTGAGAGAAGAACATAAGTAGCAGAAATGAATTCTGGTTCAAGTGCTGGGAAAAAGCAACCTCCATGCATTTGAGACCATCAACAACACACAGCCTTTCAAGTGTTAAATTGATTTTTTACTCCAACACAATGCCATAAATGCTTTTATTCTACTCCTTTCCAGAAATAAAGGATAAATAGTTGGATTTGTTTCTTGAAAAGAATATGCTTTACTCCTATCCTGATATTAAGTTCTTTCTGCACAGAATTCAATGTTGTTCCCTAAGGGAGATTTTCCCATTTGAAGACATTCAGGATGGGATAAACACAAGCACAGAACACCTATCTCCTACTGAACTCGGCAACTGATCTCAGCAATTCTGCGACCTTAGCTTTCCAACTACAAGAATTACTGGCAGGTGTACATCACTTTGTTAGTGGGGTTCTCTTTTTTGTTTTGTTTTGAGACGAGGTCTCACCATATAGTTCTGGCTGACCTAGAGCTCACTCAGTAGGACACCAGGCTGGCCCCACCTGTCTCTGCCTCCTCCATGCCAGGATTAAAGATGCCTGGACTTTGTTCTTTCTCTCTCTCTTTCTTTCTTTTGAGATAAGGCTTCACTATGTATCCAAGGCTAGCCTTAATTAAACTACTTATGTGGTGGTGATCTTCTTGCCTCAGCCTCCTAAATTCTGAGATCATTAGCATGTTTGTTTTTTTTTTTTTTCTTTTGGCAGTTTTGGAACTCGCTTTGTAGACCAGGCTATCCTCGGACCTCACATAGATCTGCCTGCCTCTGCCTGCGGAGTGCTGGGATTAAAGGCTTTCACCATTGCTATCACCACCATCACTATCACCAGGTGTGACATTTGCATTTTTTAAAAATAAAATATATTTTTATTTATATTTGCCTCAATTTGGTCTCATTTAAAAAAATTCCTTAAATATTTTTAGTGTGAGTATATATGTGTGTGTACACATGTGTACACTAAGGCACCCTTGTGGAGGTCAGAGGACAACTCTTAGGAGTTGGTTCTCTCTTGCCACCTCCCAAGGTAGATAGGACCTGGAAGATGTCAAGGTCAAGTTCAAAAGAGAGCGAAGAAGTTTGATAAGGGGTTTTCATGGCTTAATGTGTGTTGTGCATTTTACTTTAGCAAACTTTCAATATTAAGGGTGTATGAGGACAGCTGGAATTGGTAGAACTTTTAAAATATAATTGCTACTTTAAAACAAAACCATTTGCCT